AAGGGAGTAAAGTTTGAACCAGTAGAGGGGAGGGTGGGTTGCATTTTGACTCCCGTAACATAGGAGATAAAAATCATTGATACAACCACAGAAATAGTGCATACTTTTACTATGTAGCATTGATTATTGTAAATACAATCAAATACAATCTGCAATAATTTTCATTGGAAATCAATTGAACATCATAGCATGTGTTTCATAAAGTTTTGTCCAGTTACCCTCTATCGCTAATTTCAGCATCAATTTGTTCATTCTTTTCTTCGCAATTTACAGCTCACAAAAATAATTTACGCATTTCCAGCTATGATATATCAGATCTCTCCATAAAATATTTCCATCAATATGGCTAACAGATTTTGTACATGATCAATGAACCTACAAATTAAATATGAGATCATAATTTAAGTACATCAGACCGTTCACTTAAAACTTTTGAAAAATCTAAGAGGATGCTAAGCAAGTGCTTGTCATAATCATTTTTCAGGCCAAATGGAAACACTGCTTCTTTGCAAATTGAACCATTTCTTTCAAGAGTGACCAAAAAGGAAATTGTTTTTACAATACCAAAACATTTTTTAGCAAAAAGATGATGAGCAGTAAAATACAAACAAATGGATATTGCTTGATTTAACCCTTTACACCCCAACATCAGTATTCATATACTAATACATCAGTATTCATATACTAATACATCAGTATTCATATACTGACAATCAAGAATTGGTGATTGTTTGCTGTATTCTCATGATGTGAATGTGTGATTCAGTGGTGATATTCTAAGGAGAAATTAGATGCCAGTCACTTTTAGGGGTTAAAGGGTTTACATCAAACTCTCAGAGCTAAAGTCATACAAAATATATACAGTAAAAGAGAGAGTGCAGAGAATTGATGGCTAGATTTTCAGAACAGAAGGGTTAACTCAGATATAAGGCTCAGTAGCCTCCATATATCTGCATAATTTTTCCATTTAGCAAATACATCAGTCTGATTATTTCAGCCCTGGAAAACCTTCCCTCAATTAAAAATTTTTGAGCTATCCACACAACTATTCTGTTATTACTAAACAGTATTTCAGTCATGTGACCAATAATTTGAGATCTTTCATCAAAATCAGCAATTATTAGCAAGCAATGGAAATGCTAGAATGCATTTGATTGAGGGTCTAATTTGTCATTCTTTCACTGTGTATTCATCTTTCGAGGCTCGCAGCTTCCATCTCTGTGATTCTTCCTTCCCATAATTTACAAGCGACTCACATCAGGAGAATCTTCTGTTATCTGACCATTTCGTTCTACCTCATTACCAGGACTAAAATGACAAGAATGTAAAAATTCAAAACAGAAAAACCAAAATATGACCAACCCATAATAGAACCTGTCAAGCATCAGAGTTAGAATTCCGCTGGATTTCACCCACCTATGATTAGTATTTCGTGTTTAGTAAATTTTAAAGTTTCGTCAAAGAACTGAACATTTTCTGGCAGTGTTAATTAATTTTTTTTAGCACTATGTTACATCAAGTCACAAGTAGACTGCATTTGTCCCTGGCTCTAGTCTGCACTTCGGAGGTTCTTCTCAGTGTTGTCTTATTTTCTACCTTGTACAAAACCAGCCCAACAACACACAACATCTCATAAGAGATCTTCCACCTTCCTCTCGACCAATATTTTCATAAGATCTGGAATACATGTACATATATCAATGACCAAACTACAAACCAGGCAACATCATTCACAGGGGAGAGAGGAGATGAAGATACTAATAATTGTTTAAACCAACAACCAAGTGCCCTATGGATGCCAATTGTCTCAGCAATTTTGTCCAAGATAAAAAAAAAA